ACCCAGATTAGGGCGCAAACTCTAAAAAATCCTTCCTTTCACACACATAGGAAGCTAGGACTCAGCCAAACTATGTTATTTAGCATATTGGCAGGGGGGGGGGTGTTGTAAACTCAGCCAGCTGTGGTTAAGTAATGGCTGTTAAGAAGCCGAGACTTGGCATACTGACTTTTATTTATTCACTTGTTTATTTACTTCCTTGGTGGATTAGTAGATCAGTACAGTACTGAGGTGTAAAGCAGGACCACTTTGGGCAATCATAATATTGGTTGGTGAAGGAAAACAATATTCTGCAGGCATATATTCTGTTTATCTTGTTTCACCGATCTTTTCTAATTTCTGAAGTCCCCAGTCAGGTGGAGTCACCGATTCTTTAAAGGCCTTTAGGGCCTCTGAGGGGAGCCCAGGGTGACGGGCAGGGCCTTTTCTTCCAAGCACAGCTGTGTCAGGATAGAGATTCAACTCCTGGGCTTCCCTCCCGGTCAGGAGCGCTTTTCCTTCCCATCCTAGCCGCCCTCGTGTCTTCAGGCTCCAGCGACAGACACACACGCGCGGCCACCTTTAGTCGTCCCACAAACCCGCCTCGGAATCCCAGGATCGGGCGCTCTCCGCGGGTCGGGCATTTTCCCTACGAATTGGCCGAGACGCTCAGCGGAAAGGCCGAGGAGACCCTCTGAGCGCGGGAGTCCTGCAGGGGAGACCCCCCTCTGCCTTCCACCGATTCCCTCGAGCGCAGCTCAGGGCTGGGCTGGGAAGCCGCAGCGAAGCGAGTCCCGCCCCGCAGCAGCGCTCCTGACCGCCACCGCGACGGAGATAAGATAAGAGGGGCGGACAGAGGAGAGGGCAGCTATATAAGCGACGGTGGCGTCCCGACTCCCAGTCTGCTTCTGCCTAACGAACCACCGGCCGTCCCTCGATCTCCTCCTGCTCTGCCGCAACCATGGTGCTGACCGCCGAGGACCGCAGGCAGCTTCAAGCCTCCGTTGCCAAACTGGGCTGTCGCATCGAGGACATTGGCGCCGATGCGCTGAACAGGTAGGCGGGTGGGCGGGCGCAGCCTTCCTTTCCTGCAATGGGCGCCCGCCGCCCCCCGTTTCCCTGACGGACCCCTTCTCTTCCTTTTCCCTGTGGCAGGCTATTCATAGTCTACCCGCAGAGCAAGACCTACTTCGCCCACTTTAACTTGAGCCCCGGCTCGAAGGACATCGTCCACCAGGGAGAGAAAGTGGGCAAGGCGCTGGACAACGCCCTGAAGCACCTGGACGACGTCCGCGGCAGCCTCGCCCAGCTTAGCGACCTGCATGCCTACAACCTCCGCGTGGACCCTGTCAACTTCGGGGCAAGTCTGGGTAAAGCGACTGCAGGGTGGGAAGAGCGGTGCCCGTCCCACCCGCCCGGCTAACTCTTGCCTTCCTCTTCCTCCTCCTCCTCCTTCCTGCAGCTGCTGTCCAAATGCATCCAGGTGTCTCTGGCCACTCACCTGCGCAACGAGTACACTGCCACTGCCTCCCTGGCCTGGGACAAGTTCCTCGAACAGGTGTCTGACAACCTGTGTGAAAAATACAGATGAGCTGGACAGGCCACCAGGCACCCTTCTTTGCCCTCTTCTAAGCTGCCTGCCTTCAGGGTGCCTCGCCTGGGCCACTGAGCAATAAAGTTGTTTTTGAATCGCTGCTTGCCTGCTGCGTTGGCTTTTTGGGCTGAAGGGAAGAGGAGCAGGGCCCTATGGCTGCTGGGAAAGGACTCTCCGGGTGTGTGTCTGCCTTTGGGTTGGTGTTGATCCCCGATGGCTGCCAAGGATAGTCCTTGCAGGGAAAGTGGTTGGCTCTGCCTCCTCCTTCAGATGGCCGACTGTCCAAGGTCATCCATACCTGTAGACTCCATA